CCCCCAGCCCCCCAGGGTGCCTCCCCCCCACCCCACAGCCCTCACCCTCCCCTTTCCTCTGGTGATTTTATTTCCCTCCTAAGAACTCAGCACAAGAAGAGAAGGGATTTAACACCCAACACACACAAATGACAAATTAACAAGACACAAAACGCCATCTCTGAGATAGTCAACTTTTGTTTTGTTTTCTCTTTGTGAGTGGGAACATGGACAAGTACGTCCGTTTCCATGCATTCTGTATGCTTGCGGCTTTTACTGTTCAGTTCAGGCATTAATTTCTCTCTGACGTCTCTTCAGCCTGATCTTCAAACACATGGTCATCGTGAAGGCCAAGCTCGGCCAGAGCTTCCTGATGGAGATCCAGAAGTTCCGGGACCAGAGCGAGGAGTACCTGGCCCGCATGTGGCAGCGCCTGGCCCTCAACTCCAAGAGCGTGCACGGCGAGCTGACCTGCTACCACAATGCCATCCAGGCCCTGCAGGTTGGCGGGGTGCAGCTGGGGGCCCGCGCTGGGGTGGGGAGGCGCCCGGTGCCTCGGGAGGAGAGTGGGGCAGGGGGCAGAGCCAGGCCTGAGACACTGTCCGCCTGCCCGAGGGACGTGGTCCCTGCAAGGCTGCGGGGGGAAGGGCGGCCAGCGGGTCAGGAGGGACACAGGGCTCTGCAGGGTTTGGGGTCCTCAGGGACAGCCCGCACCCCCCCAGAAGTCAAGACACAGGTTCCTCTCGATGCACTTTTTAGAGATCTGGGGAAGGACAGGCACCTCGATTTGAGTGTCCCCCAGGAAAGGGTCCAAGCACAGGCTCCTGTGGTCAGGCAGAGGCCTGGCTCCCCAGCAAGTGGCCATGGGTGCTCCTGCACCTTGCTCCTGAAGCCAGGCCAGGGGTCTCGAGGCCAGGTTGGGGGTGCCGCTGGCCGAGCTTTTCGTAAATTCACAGGGCTGTGCAGCCTCGGTCACAGTCCATTTCAGAACACTTCGGCACCCCAACCCCAGGTTGGTTGGCTGCCTGTCCCTCCCTGCCTCCCCGCCAGCCCCAAGGAGCTGGGGTCACAAGAATGGGAGCAGGCAGGCAGGTCCTCTGGATCCTCTGGATCCGGCCGCCCTCCCGGGGCCTTGTCTTTGAGAAATGTCAGATCCTTTACAGATTTTTTAATTTGGTTGTCTGTCCACTTATTCAGTTAGTTCAGTTCAGTTGCTCAGTTGTGTCCAACTCTTTGCAACCCCATGAACCACAGCACGCCAGGCCTCCCTGTCCATCCCCAACTCCCGGAGTTTACCCAAACTCATGTCCATCGAGTTGGTGATGCCATCCAACCATCTCATCCTCTATCATCCCCTTCTCCTCCTGCCTTCAATCTTTCCCAACATCAGGGTCTTTTCAAATGAGTCAGCTCTTCGCATCAGGTGGCCAAAACATTGGAGTTTCAGCTTCAACTTCAGTCATTCCAATGAACACCCAGGACTGATTTCCTTTAGGATGGACTGGTTGGATCTCCTTGCAATCCAAGGGACTCTCAAGAGTCTTCTCCAACACCACAGTTCAAAAGCACCAATTCTTCAGGGCTCAACTTTCTTTACAGTCCAACTCTTACATCCATACATGACCACTGGAAAAACATAGACCTTTGTTGACAAAGTAATGTCTCTGCTTTTTAATATACTGTCTAGGTTGGACATAACCTTCCTTCCAAGGAGTAAACGTCTTTTACTTTCATGGCTGCAGTCACCGTCTGCAGTGATTTTGGGCCCCGTGAGGGCCTGCTCTGCTCCTCCATCTGTGGCTCCCAGTCTTCCCAGCTCCTCTGTTGAAACGATGACCATGCTGTCTTCCACCCCACCTGTCCCCGTCACCTCTCTTGCACAGCTCCCGTCAGAGCTACCAGTGGCCACCAATGCCACGGCCATTCTGCGGCCCCATCTGAGCCCTTCTCTGCACTGAGGCTCACCTGTCACCTGGCTTCCAGGCCCCCCCACCTCCAGGCGTCTGCCCACATGCTGATGAGGGGGAGGACCTGCTCAGGGCTTGGCGTCCAGCCCCTGCCCCAGCCCACCCCCCTGCCCTGTGGTGGTGTCAGGCCGTGTCTTAGGCTGGTCCATCCTGCCCTTGGGTCCCCCCCGCCTGGCCACCTGCCCCTGCCCTCAGACTCCTGCCCCTCCGGCTGCTCGTTGTCCTAGGTGCAGGGTGTGGGGCCCAGTTTGAGGCCCAGCAGGTGGGGGGCGGGACGGGGGTGGGGGGCAGCGCCTGCCATCCTGCGGCGGTGAGTGATCACCAGTGTCGGGTGTGTGCGGCCAGGCCTTGGGCACAGCACCTCCCCTGCCCTCCGTGCCCCACGGGCCACGTGCTGGAGGAGCCCCAGGGCTGAGGTCAGAGCGCCTGCAGGGAGCCCCTGAGGCCGCCGTTGCCCCGGGGGCGGGCGGGCCGTGGGGCATCCGCGGGGTGCGGAGGCCAGGACGCTCGCCAGGCTTGGGCCCTGCTGCCCTTCGCCCGTGGCGGTCAGGCCGAGCCTGGTGGGCGCCCTCTGGCGGCGGAGGAACACAACGCGGCGGTGCACGGTGCGGAGGTCGGCGTGGCTGCCGCGTGTTCCAGCCTTTTGTGTTTCATCCCGAAGAAGCCGGAGAGCGAATGGCAGAAGGTGGACTCCATCATGGAGTTCAGCGAGTTTCTGTACTACAAGCAGTTCCCTCTGGAGGACGTGGTCTTCCACCTCAAGTGGGCAATCGACATCCTGCTGAGGATGCAGCCCGTGGGGAGCATCCCCGAGCCAGCCGGCGTGGGGGCCGCGGATGCGGGGGACGCAGGTGAGGGGCGCCTCCGGCTGGCGGCGGGCCACCCGCCGCTGGGGGCTCCGCGGTCACCCCGTCCCCCTGGGGGGCACGCTCCCTGTGGGCTTGGGGAGGTTAGGACCCCGCCGCGCTCGCTGGGTGCCCGTGCAGCCGGCAGGCCCGCCCAGCACCCTGAGGAGGCGGAGGCTGACGCGGTGAGCGAGCTCTCTCCCAGGAGGCGGTGGGGGGTGGTGGCCGCCCCCCCGGGGGCCAGTGCGAGCGCCGTCTCCGAGGGCGGGACCTGCCCGCAGGAGGATGGTGCTCCGAGCAGCAGAGTGCCCCAGGGCTGCTGGCCGGCCTTCCCAGCCCCGAGGCAGCCGCTTCCTGGGGCTGCAGAGTTCAGGCTGGAGGGGGCCACCTCCTGTCTGCACGAGCTGCCCGCTTGGTGTCCATGCCCTTCTGGATGTGTCCACACACCCAGCTCAGACCAGCTCGGGGGAACCACGGTGGGCGGGGGGCTCCAAGTAGACCCCAGAGCTCAGACCCCTACCCCAGCCCGGGATGTAGCCAGTGTCCCTGCAGGCAGGCCAGGGGAGCCCTGGGAGGCCTGTCCCTGAGCCCGACCCCTGGGAGGGGGGCGCTGCCCCCTGGGGAAGAGAACCAGCCCCAGGCTGGGGGCCGGTGGGCCCTGGGCCGGTCAGCGGGGACGCCAGCAGGGCCCTGTCTTCCAGATGCGCAGGTGTCCGGTCTGGGGGCCCTGGAGGGCCCGGGGGGCGCGGGGCCCCCCTCCCTGCAAGAGCTGCAGAGCGTGCGGCAGCTGGAGACGCTCGCCCGCGCCTACACCCTGCTGGCCCTGGTGGCGACCCCGTGCAGTGCTGGCCACCAGGACTACTGCCTCATGGCCTACGCCTTCCTGCACCGCATCTGGCAGGTGAGGCCGCCTGCCCTGCTGCCAGGGGTCCCAGTCTGTCCTGGGCCCACGTCCACCCCTGCTCCCCAGCGCCTCCTGCCCCCGGCTCTGGCGACTCAAGGGGGCTGCCTCCTCTGCAAGACTCAGGCCAGTGCCTTTGTGAAACCACCCCCAGAGCCTCCCTTCCCACCCCACTGCCTCTGGGCTTCCAGAGCCTTCTGTGCACCCCTTCACCTAGCCGCCTTCCTACCATCTGTCTAGAGGGCCCCCAGGGCAGCTCCTGGTGACCTCGTCTTCTCAGGGACCTCCCTGGGCTGTGCTCCTCAGCAGGACAGTGTTGGCAGGACAGGCCTCTCTTCTTGGGGCAAGTTCTCCCCCCTCCCCCAGCCAGCAGGGCCATCGGCGTTTGGCAGCAGGAAGGACGAGGGTGGCCATCCTTGTCCGCAAGACTCCCCCGGCCCCCCTACCCCACCATGCAGTTGCAGTTCTTTTAGGAGAACCATTAAAAGTCACTTGAGTGTGCTCTCCATTAAAGACATTAATTCATCTTACGGAACTGACAAACCCTTCTTAAAGGTCAGACATGCATCTCTCCAGAGCCCTGGAGGAAGTGCCCTGAGTGCTCATGGCCTGGCCACTCCCAGCCTTAGGGTCCTCAACCCGCCCTCAGATCTGCGTGGGGGGAGGGAAACCCACTTCTGTCGCTGTTGTTGTTCAGTCATGTCAGACTCTTTGCTACCCCATAGCCTGCCCTTCACCATCTCCCAGAGTTTGCTCAAACTCAGTCCATCGAGTCGACGATGCCATCCAACCATCTCATCCTGTGTCATCCCCTTCTCCTGCCTTCAATCTTTCCCAGCATCAGAGTCTTTTCCAAGGAGTCAGTTCTTTGCATCAGGTGGCCAAAGTGTTGAAGCTTCAGCTTGCATCAGTCTTTCCAATGAACACCCAGGACTGATCTTTAGGATGGACTGATTGGGTCTCCTTGTTGTCCAAGGGACTCTCAAGAGTCTTCTCAAAGACCACAGCTCAAAAGCATCAATTCTTCGGTGCTCAGCTTACTTTATGGTCCAACTCTCACATCCATACATGACCACTGAAAAAATCATAGTTTTGAGTAGACGGATCTTTGTCAGCAAAGTAAGGTCTCTGCTTTTTAATATGCTGTCTATGTTGGTCATAGCTTTTCTTCCAAGGAGCAAGTGGCTTTTAATTTCACTGCTGCAGTCAGACATTAACATTGCAAATTTGGATTTCTTTTCACAGGTTTCTTTCTCAACAGCAGGAAAATCCACTTCAGAAAGTAGAATTTCAGCAACAGCAAGCTCACACTTGTTGCCTAAAAAAGAGAAAGAGAAAAGCAGAGACAGAGACAAGGAGAAGGACAAGGACAAGGGGAGGGACCCGAAGCAGGTGGACAGGCTGCACCCCCGCCACCCCTGAAGGTCCTGGTGCCAGAGGCTGGGCCGAGAAGGGCGAGCAGCGTCCTGGCTCCTCTGCCCGCTTTCCTCCCCTGGGAAGTGAGGCGGTCTCAGTGCCTCTGCCCCAGGTGTCAGGAGGCTGACATGGGGAGGGTCTGGCTTCTCCCTGGTGACCAGCTGCTTTCCCGGAGCCCTGGCTGTGCGGGGCAGGGCAGCACTTTCTCTGCATCCTGTGGGGGCCTGTGCATGTCACTTCGTCAGCTGGAGGGACTGCCCCCACCCTGGCCATCCCACTGGATTGGCCCCTTGGGAGACACCCCGCCTCCTTCCCGCAGCCCTGCTGAGCTGGGATGTGTGTGTCGGGGGTGGGGCACGTCCAGGGCACTAGCTCAGAGTGGCCGTGGGAAGTGGTGTCAGCTATTGTCTGTGGCTCAGGTGTCTCCAGGGAGCCCCGCCACACCCATCCCCAGAGGTGCTGCCTGCCCGGGGTGCAAGACCTCTATTCCCACGGGGCCCCCTGGGTGTCTGCCTCCAGATCTACATCCCAAAGCAGAGCCTGGCTTCTTGCTTTGCAGTTCCAGAGTCCTGCTCCTGGCAAATGCCTTGAAGACTTGCCCTCAAGCCTAGAAGAGTGGGCTTCCTATGCCTGCCCCGAAGAACTCATATCTGTATTCAAGCAGGATCAGAGTGACTTTACCATCAACCCGTCAACTATCCAGAAGCCGGTGGGTGGACCCAACGCCTCTCCTGCAGGCCTGCGTCCCTGTGTCCTGCCTGCTGGGCTTTCTAGTGTGAAGTGGGTCCAGAGAGTGGTCAGGCCCCAGGCCCTCCCCAGGTCCCTCCGCAGGCACCTGTGCCTCGTGTTCCCCGCGTGGACCACACCCCTGCACCTGTGGTCCAGCTGCGCCCCCGGGCGTCTGGTGCTGCTGAGTGCTCCGAGCAGTGGGAGGGTCTTCCCCACAGCTCCGGAGGCACGGGTTCAAAACTTGGGCTGCCATCGAAGAGTCTGTGGCCCGTACCCGGCCCCGGTGCCCAGGAGGGTCCTCCCCCCTCCCCCAGCAGCTGGGCTCCCAGGCGTGTGCCGAGTGGCCCCCGTGTCTGCCTCCGTGCTCACGCGGCTTCTCCTCTGTGTCCGTCTCATCTCCCAGATGATTTTGGTAATTTATCCGCAGATTCTTTTGATTTTATGTGTGTATCCAAAATCTACATTTCATCTGCAAACCTCTTCCCTAATTTGGGATCGTTACACTGTTTCCTCGCCTCACCTGACTCGCCAGGTTGCCTCCAGCTCAACACCACAGGTGGCGAGGCCTCCCGGTCTTGGCAAGACTCCGTGTGACCGATGCTTGTTGGGGGTTCATAGACATTCTTCACTGGTTAAGCGAGTTCCTTTATTTCTGTTTGCTAAGAGTTTTAAGCTTGAACAGCTATGAAAGTGAAAGTGAAAGTCGCTCAGTCGTGTCCGACTCTCTGCGACCCCATGGTCTATACAGTCATGGAACGCTCCAGGCCAGAACGCTGCAGCGGGCAGCCTTTCCCTCCTCCAGGGGGTCTTCCCAACCCAGGGATCGAACCCAGGTCTCCTGCGTTGCAGGCGGATTCTTCACCAGCTGAGCCACAAGGGAAACCCCATAAATAGCTATAGATTCTTATCGGACATTTTTCTCCATTTATTCAGATGACAGTTTTTTCTCTTTCATTCCTTCAACTTGGTTGACATGTATTATTCATTTCATTTATCATCAGGTTCAACAGGCTAATGTTTTGTTTGGGGTGTTTGCCTCTCTGTTGGTGAGAAAAGTTGGTGTTCAGGTTTCCTTTCACACTACATGCTTGTCAGGATGGGATGAGAAGTTACACTGACTCCAAGCTGTTTTCTGCTCCCAAAGCCTCTGAACCCTGGCATGTGGATTTCCACACAACAGCGAGTTCTCAGCGCCCCTGTGGACACCAGCCAGGGGACCACCCCATTGAACTCGGCTCTGACACTTAACCGCCGGGTCAGTGTGGGCCCCAGGGATCAGGGCTCCCTCGAGGCCTGCTCCAGCAGATGCCCGTCATGAGTGTCGGGTCCCCAGGCCCCCGCACGTCTGTCCAGTGTGGCCAGCAGTCGGGGTCCCGGGCTCCTCCCCAGGTTTGATATTGGCTATGACGGCCCCCAGACTTGGGGAAACTTTACTTAGCAGATACGCTGGTCTGTTATAAAGGATGTTGTAACGGATACAGACAGACAGCCTGATGAGGAGGTCTGCGGGGCAGGTCTGGAGGGTCCCAAACATGGGAGTGTCTGTCCCTGAGGAGCTGGGGGCCACCAGGCCCCTCCCTCCTGGCAGGTGGACGTGCTCACCAGCCCAGAAGCTCTCCATGCCCCATCCTGTAGGGGGTTCACGTAGGTTCCAGGACAGGGCACGACTGGTCCTCTCGTGGCCGTTGGTCCCTAACTGGACCTCCAGCCCCCCTCTCCCCAAATATCGGAGGACAGGCTGAGGGCCTCACTGTCCTGCCATGTGGTTGGTCCCTCCGGCCGCCGACCTGCTCCCTGAAGGTCCGCAGGAACGGCCCAGAGTCCCCTCGTGGGTGTGAAGTCAGGTGGGGCGAGAGGGTTCCAGGTGCTCGGTGCTGGGACCAGGAGCAGGACCAGACGCGCGGGTCGTGTTTCCTCACAGCAGCACACTCACCTTTTAGTCAACTCCAGAATGTTCCTTTTTCAAGCTCTTCTTGAGAAGAATTTGTGTAAAATTAGCTATTGTTCCTTCCTTAAACGTTTGGAAGAATTCCCTAGTGAGGAGTTCTGGGCCTAGATCTATTTGGGAAGATGTTAAATTATGGATCCACTTTATTTAATAGTTACAGAACCCTTTACATTTTTAAATTTCTTTTTTGTAGTAATTTTGGTGGGTTGTATTTTTCTAGGATGTTTCCAGTTAATATAAAATATAAGATATACTGGTATAATATTGTTCTTAATATCCTGTTATTACCTTTTTAGTGTCTGTAGAACTATAAATATTTCTGTCTCCCTCCACCCCCTTTCTTGAGCAGTCTCATCAGGAATTATCAATTAGTCCCTCAAAAAGCCACATGCTTTCCAGGCCAGCCAAACACCACTGGGCTGTTTTACCTCATTTCCCTTAAGGCTCAGACACAGACTTCCGGGACCTGATGGGAGCATTTAGCCTTCAGTGGGCCCTCAGCTGCACCCGACAGGGAAGTCAGAGGCGTGAGCAGGCTCTCCACTGCCTTGGCCTCAGCCGACACCCAGGTCGCCGCCCAGTGCGCTGGGTTCACACATCTGGACTCCCCTCTTCTTGCGCGTCTTGGCACAGTTATTCTTTCCGAGTTGTTCACTCCTCAGTGCTTTAAGCAGATTTTTTAAGTTGTTCATCCGTGTTTTCCAGTTTTCCACTGAAGAATAATTACTTTATCAAACCTAGTCCAGCATTATAAGAAGTATTAGTGCATCTCTGCCTGTACTTAATTTTAAAGCAGTTGGTGGGTACATAAAGAAAGCAAAGACTCTAATTTGAATGAAAGGTAGATTATTCTCGTGAGGAGCTTTAGCTGTGTTTGTGCTAAAAAGTCTAGGAAGTTGCACTTGACAAGATGAAAGCTGTTGATGAAACAGAGGACGCAGAGAGCAAGTCAGTGGTCCCCTCAGCAGGCGGGATCCGCACCGCGTGTGGCTCCGGGGGGGACGGAGCTCCTGGGGAGGACCCTGGGGGCCAGCACCTCACCCTCCGCCCTTGACCTCGTGTGTTTGCTGGCAGGCGGGAATCCGCACCGCGTGTGGCTCCGGGGGGACGGAGCTCCTGGGGAGGACCCTGGGGGCCAGGACCTCACCCTCCGCCCTTGACCTCGTGTGTTCGCTGTGTTTTGACGCAGACGTACAGTCTGTACTACCTGGACCGCTTGGTGGAGGCCCTGCAGAAGATGTTCCTTCATGAGCTCGCAATCCCGGTCCTGCAGCTGGGGGCGCTCATCGCAGCCTCCGTGGTTGAGAGCAAGAGCCTAAAGGATCTCTACCACCTCCGGTGGGTGCTCCTGCTGTATTTCAGGGAAGCTGGGAGACGTTTATGTGGCTAAAGCAAAAATTTGCCCAAAGCAATATAGAGACAAATCAGAGCTTAAAACATTAATTCTGTGGTTGACTAGTTATATAAATAATAAAGTCTCTAAGATTTGTAAAGCCAAATGCATCAAAATATTTAAACATAAAAATATTCTTAATGTTTAAATTTCTACTTGGTTTTTAAGAGAGTATCATTGTTTCAAGGAAATACACGCTGAAGTAGAATAAGCAGAATAAAGGAACATTGTGTCTTCAACCTACTCAAATAGGTCGGGAAAAAATTTACATATATATATATAAATTTTATATATTTACCCACACATAATTTTTTATTATGTCCTGAGCTATATATAAAATTTATATATGAAGTAATTTATATATATATTAGTATAATTTTTATATTATTGTATATGTAGATAGAGAACCTGGACAATGAAGGATGTTCAATAATATGAAGGATGTTTGTGTAACTTTTCTGGAAGCTTCAAATCATTTCAAAATAAGAGTGTTTTGCACAAAAGTCAGAGCTGAGCTCATCGGCTTGCAGTTGTGATGGGGTCAGAGCCGCACCGTGCCTCGTCTCCACCTCTGGATGTGACCCCGAGACTACAAATGTGTTGAGGAATCTGACGGCGGCGTCTGCTGTCTCCCCTCGTAACTTAGCTTGGCCTTAAAGATCATTGAAAAGAGCCACAAAGTATCTGCTCCTTTTCCGTTTGCCGATCTGTGCCACGCCTCCCGAGCCCAGGGCGGCCTGACTCAGGGCTGACACTCCTCTCGCCCCCAGACTTGCCCTGGCTTGTTCTGACTTGAGGTTGAGGGAGGCGGCCACGTACCACGAGGAGGTGGTGGGGCAGGCCTACATCTGTGACATGGAGCAGGCCAGGTGAGCCGCTGCGGCTGGCGCGGACCCCCTTCCCCACTGCGGCAGGGTCGCCTGCTCTGACACCCCCAGTGTATGCCGCCCACTGTGGCATGGACCTCCCCCACTGCGGCAGGGCCCCCTGCTCTGACACCCCCCGGTGTGTGCCCCCGACTGCGGCAGGGCCCCCTGCTGTGATGCCCCCCTCCTGGGCCCCCCACTGTGGTGCAGACCCCCTCCCCCCGCCCTCTGCCTGGGCTCGATGCCGGCCCTGCTCTCAGCTGCATCTCCTCGGGAAAACTGGGAGTCATCTGTGCTGCTAAACCAGGGGAATTTAAAAAAAACTTTGTAAACACATGAGTCGATAGTTGTCTGTTGTGGCTTTTATTTTGTATTTCTTTGATTACTGTTGAACATTTTCAGGTGCTCTGGCCGTTCTATTTCTTTTTTGGCATAATGCTCGTTTTACTTATATTAGCTGCAGAAAAGAAATTGCCTTGAAAAAGGAGAAAAATAAGGAACCTCTATTAGAAGAAAGTCTGCCAACACTGAATGAGCTCCCCGCTTCGGCCCCGCAGGCAGAGATGAAGCCCCTCATAGCAAAGGATAAGGTAGCCTTGCTCTGCAGAAGCTGCTTGACTCCTGGCCCAGTGGGGGCGGTAGGCCCAGCTCCAGTCACTCCGCTTGGACCTGTCCTAGCGGCCAAGCCTCCTGATCCTAGAGCCGGCTCCTGGGAAATCCAGAGACTGATGGGGTGTGTCCCTGCCCCTCCGGCCCTCAGGGAAGGCGAGACTGCAGGATCTGAGCTGTGGTTCAGAGAGGACAGCCTGGGGGTGGCCGGTGGGGGGCGGGAGCTCCCACACCAATGGGAAGGGGAAGGGCGATCCCTCGCAGCGGGCGGGCGCAGAGCAGCTGGGAGGCCTGAGTGCCCCCACCCTCCCCGCGCGCGGTGGGCTTGCCTCTAGGGCTTGCCTGTAAGGGAAATGACTGTCCCTTGTGCAGTCCAAGGTCTCCTGTCACTGTGGCAGTTGCGCCCCCTGCACCCGGCGCTGCTCCGTGGCCTGGCCATGAGCAGGGACGGGCATCCTGAGAGGACAGCCTGGCCACGGGCCCTGGAGCAGGGACTGGGCTCGGGCGTGCGGGGCCGGGGGCAGCCGCGCCGACGGCGCCCGCCCTGCACCCATGCGGCCCCCGTGGGCCTGTGTGTCTTACAGATCCTGAAGGTAAATGAAGAGACCGGCAGGGGCCTGGACGGAACATCCTTCCCACTGCTGTGGACCCTCAAGGCCGAAGTCCTGCTGAAGATGGAGCTGTACCAGCCTGCGAGGCTGCTGCTGTCAGAAGCGTACCTGGCCTTCCAGGTGAGGCCACACCTGCCCGGCCCACTACACCTGTGGGGCCTGCTCCCCCAGAAGCAGCCCCACCCCCAGCCCCCGGCTAGGATGGCCGCTCTCTGGGAGGCAGGGACCTTCTGTGCTGAAGACTGTTCTGGAGCCTCCGTCTGACTGTGGAGGCCTGTCTGCCCCTCTAGCTTCATCACAGCCTGCCCCCTGTAACTGCGGCGGGTCCATGCTGCGGCCTCTCTTCCTCCTGGGCCGCGGTGACCAAGTGTTTCTGAGCAGGCCCCTCACGGTGCGTGTAGACGACGGGGCCCTCGAGAGGCTGAGGGCTTCGGTTTGTTCTCAGAGGCAGATGGTGTCCCAGGGCCCCGACCTGCTCCGGAGCTCTGTTCTGCTTCTCCGTGTGGGCCCTGTGGTGTCTGTGGCCGCTCGGAGGTCTCCCTGGGAGCCTGGGTTTCCCTCCAGGCCCCCTTGGAAAGGCTCCCTCCAGTGTGGACACCCAGCCTCAGCTCAGCCTCTCAGGCCCCTACTGTCTGCTGGCTTTCCTGAGGTGGCTTGGTCGCCTGTCTGTTGGCTCCTGGACGCCTTGGCTCCTGCCTCCTCTCTCCAGCCGGACTGAGACCCTCTCCCTGGGCTCTGTCCCCACAAGGATGGTGCCCAGGGGAAGGCCCAGCATGGAGTGGAGGCAACCCATGTGTCCCTCCCTCCCTGGAGGGGGGTGGCTGGGCTGCAGCGTCAGCAGCTCCCAGGGCCCCCAACGGGTGGCTCCGTCTCCGGGCGACGTTCAGGATTGTTCCCTGGGAGAGGGCGGCAAGGTTATAGAACTGTTCGAGTTGGCCCCTGCTTTGGAACGGAACCCTCGAGAGAGACATCGCTTGCTTTCTGTCTCAGGCAGGGGGACAGCGTGGCCAGGGGAGGGACTGAGACGGCCGTGAGACTTGTGGAGGAGAGCGGGCAGGACGGGCCTTGGGGGACGCGGGGGGACCCGGAGGGGGTGCAGGAGGTTGAGGAGGGGGGCTGCGAGCCAGCACCCACTGGCCGGGGCACCGCGACCTGGTCTCCTGGCCTGCGCCTGAGTGTCTGGGACTTTCCCGGTCAGCCTCCCTCAGCCCCACGAAAGGGTGGTCCACACACTCTCCTCACCTCCGCCCGGCGGCCACCCGGCCCTCCTGCTGCCAGGAGGGGCTTCCTAGACTCTGCGGAGCAGGTCTTAACACACACAGGCATTGAGCTCAGCGCTGGGCCCCTTGGGCTGCAGGCTCATCCCTGGACAGGCACCGGGGCCTGCACTCCGCCTCTGCCTGCCTCCCTCTCTCTGCCTCGCGGTCTCTGTCTCTGTATGCGTCTCTCTGTGTCTCTCTCGTCCACTGCCCCACCCCATCCTCCGTCCACACGCACCTCCTTTGCAGGAGCTGGGCGATCCTCTTGCACAGTCCAGGTGCCTGCACTTGCTGGCCCAGCTCGCCAACAAGGAGAAGCAGCACGGGCAGGCTCGGCGGATGGTGGAGAAGGCCCAGCGCCTGGGAGGGAGTGAGGAGTTCTGGTACCAGTCCACCCTGACCCTGGCGGACTCGCTCCTGTCCGCAGAGGGCGAGAGGCGAGAGACCCTGGTGAGGGGCCGCTGCGTGTGGGGCGGGGGGCCGGCGGGTGGGGGGTGGCAGGGCCGCGGTGATTCTGCCAGGCCTGCCCCAGGTCTGCAAGCTGTTCCAGAAGCTCATAGACACCTTCAACGTGCTCAAGAAAGAGAGGCCAAACCGAATGCCCATGTTGGAATTCATGACCACAGACCTGGAAGCCAGGTAACGTTCTGTGAGGAAGAACGTTGATCACCGTGAAAGTTGTGGTGCTCTTTCCGCTATTAATTGTAAGTCATAGTTCGAGCCTGTGAAGCTCAGAGACTCGCAGGACAACGGCCTGTGTCCACAGCTGCCTCCCGCATCCCTTCCTTGGCAGCCAGCCTCTCTCCTGGGACCGGGCGGGCTGGTGGCTTGTTTGTCCCTGGACTCTCAGCTCCTCAGAGGTGGCTTGATACCCAGGAAGCCTCTAAGGCTGGAGAAGGTCCGGCCACTCCTCTCCCCACAGTCGGTGTGGGTGCCCCAGGTGGTCAGCCTTCTCCCGGGGTCTGTCGGCCTGCCTGCCGCTCTCCCCTCCAGTTTTCGGGCCGAGCGTCTGGTCCATGACAGCATCAAGCTCTCTGCAGACGCCCGAGGGGCGGGAGGCCACAGGACAGACTCCAGGGAGGAACGTGTGTGCTCAGACGAGTAGTCTGTCCCTGAGCCGTCCTCCCAGTTGGTCACTGGGCTTCTGGAAAGCAGCCTCCCGTGGTCTCAGCCCCGGCTGCATGGGCCTCTTTCTAGGAACGCACAGAGCCGGCCCGAGTTCTGTCTGTTAAGTCAGACTTGCAGGTCCCGCCTTCACAGAACAGCTTCTGCTCCGTGACCAGAGCACCGCAGCTTTTGCCTGATTGGGGTTTTCTTTACTGCCTTCCTCTCTGTTGAACTCTTCCTGTGCTGGGACAGGGCTCCTCACGGCTGTTCTGTCCCCACCTCCGAGGGGGCCCTTTGGTCCTCCCCTAGCCAATGCTCCTGGACCCCCAGCTGCAGGTTTGACATGTGAACAGGCTTCATTTCCACCTGGTTTTGGTCTCTTCTCCAGACTTCTTTAAGAGAGGGGTTTCGAATTTTCAGAGGGATGGAGAATGCCTGGGTGGGGAGATGTTAGTTGCTGACTTCGTGGCATTGTCACGAAGGGTGTGGCTTGTGGTGTCTCCAGTGCTGCCCCGAAGGTGCCCCTCCCGTTGCCCAGAGCGGAGCTGGCAGTGGGCGGCGGCCGGCCCGCCAGTCGCAGCGTCGCCCCGCCCGCGCCCCCACAGGTGTGTAAGCCTCCAGATCAAAGCCGTCGAGGAGCAGCTGGACAGAGACCCCCAGGAGAACTTATTTCTGATGCTGGAAATAGACCGCCGCTTGCTGGAGGTGGAGGAGAAGTTTGCCAGCATCGGCCACAAGGAGCAGTGCATGGACATTCAGCTGGAGCGGGCCCGCATAAAGAGGTGGGGACCCGCTGTGCTCCCTGCCCTGGGGAAGCGCACGGACGCAGCCCCCCGCCCAGCCCCAGGCACGCGAGCGTCGCTCCGCGTCTCACTCGGCCGTGGACACGCACGCCTTTTCACACTCAGCCACACGCGTGTCGCCTCAGAGGCCAGGAGCTGCCTGCCCCCAGCAGTGCCGTCACCTCCCCTGGCCGCGCCCATCGTCTGCCCGTGCCCCCACAGCCTCCCCAGGGCCACCCCACCGTGGGGGCCACGCAGGGGTTCAAAACACGGTGAGCAACCAAAGGCTGGGCGTAACAAGTAGCCTCTATGAGGGAAAAGGCACGCGCCACCTGGGAGCCCGCGCAGCAGGCAGCTCTGGTCACCGAAGCCGCTGGGGTCCTCGTAGGGCGTGGGCACACTCAGACACGGCCAAGAGGTGACGGGCCCGCGCAGCCCCTGGCCCTGCAGCGGCCGCAGCGCCTGCAAACGAGCTCAGACCGTGCACGTGCGGTCCTCCAGGCCTCCACCTCTCTTCCAAATAGGTTGAGAGGATCTTTCCAGGTAACACACCCAGTTATAAGATGTAAAGTGCTAATGAAATATACATTGTAACTACATGCAAATTACATGCTACACATTTTTAGTACTGACAATGTAATGCTTTGACAGTTTTATTCTAAATGTCACTCTTCTTCTGATAAAGGTTGTCTGCCCAAAGTGAGAAATTTGAAGAGCAGAAAACTGCATGTTACTTGGAAGCATACGACCTGGCCCAGAGAGCCGTGGCTGGAGCAGTGGACCTGTTTCTCAGTGTCCAGAGTTTACTGTCCCTTCACGACGTAAGGATGTTATATGAATTTTACCTCAATTTAAAAAAATCCCAGAAAGCTATGGGAGAGATGCCCAAATATTTGGAAAGTAAATAACATACACCAGAATAACTGTGGGCCAGAGAAAAAAATCAGAAGGGAAACTATTTTGAACTATAGTGTGTGTGGGGTGGGGGGGGCACATATCAAAATGTGTAAGAGATCTCTAATGCAACACTTAGGGGAGCTTTTGTAGCACCAAATAGTTGTGTGAGAAGAGAAAAAAACCCTAAATCAGTTATTTCAACATGAAAGTAGAAAAAGCAAATCAAACTCAAAATAAGTAGAAGAAAAGAAATTAAAGACCACAGTGCAAACTATTGAAATAGAAAACTGAAAAATGGAAAAGTCAGTAAAGCCAAATGCTATTTCTTTAAAGAGATCAATAAATTGATAAACTTCTAGTCAGACTGGTTAAAAAGAGAGAAAGGATATAAATTAACCATCAGAAATAAGAGATGTGACATCACTGTAGACTCTATATGTTGAAAAGATTATAAGGGAATTTCATGAACAACTTTATGCCATATGTTTGACAATGGAGATGAAATGGAAAATTCCTTGGAAGACACAAACGACCAAGCTCAGTCAGAAAGAAATAGATAATGTGAATAGCCCTCAGTCTATTAAATAAATTGAATTTGTAGTTGAAAGTTTTTCCATGAAGAAAATGTCAGACCCATATGCATTTACTAGAGAATACCAGCAAGCATTTAAGGGAAAAAACAAGACCAATTCTGTACAGATTCTTTGGGAAAATTGAAAAGGAGGGAATACATCCCAACTCTTCTGTAAGGCTGGTGTCAGTGTGATACCAAAGCAAGATAAAGATATTAAGAAAAACCCTATTGACAGTTCTTCATGATCATAGATGTAAAAACTCTAAACAAAATTTGGGAAATTAAGTCCAACAATGTGTAAAAAGGATAATATACCAGGTTGATCCCAGGACTTGTGTAACATTCAAAAGTCAATCAATTTGGTTCACCAGGTATTTTTAAACAGTAAACATTATTGGACTTCCCTGGTGGTACAGTAGGTGAGAATCCACCCACCAGCGCAGGGGATATAGGTTTGACCCCTGGTCTGGGAAGACGCCGCCTGGCGTGGAGCAGCAAGACCCACGTGCACGGCCACTGGCCTGTGTGCTGTGAAGTGTGCGCGCCCGGAGCCTCTGCGACGAGAGAAGCCCATGCACCACACCTGGAGAAGGCCTGTGTGCAGCAGCAAAAGGCCCAGACGACCGAAAGAAACACAGGCGCAAGAAAAAAAGCACTTGACAAGGTCCAGCATCCGTTCCTGATCAAACAAAACAAAACCTCTTAGCAAACCATTCATACCAGGGATCTCGCTCAGTCTGATTAAGGGCATCTGTGAAAAAAACTAGAGCTCACATGTTGAAAGACTGAATGCTTTTTCCTTAAGATGACGAATAAGATAGTGGTGTGTCCTCCACCACTTCAATCCAGAATGCTATTAGAGTTCTAGCCAATTCAATCAGGCAAGACAAAGAAACTAAAGCATCCAGGTTACAAATGAACATGTAAAACTATCTTTGTTCACAGATAATGTGGTTGTCTGTGTAGAAAACCGTGCGATCTACAGAATAATACAGCTGCTAGTACTAAGGAGTGAGCTTAGTAAGGTTGCATGGTACATGAGCACTACACAAACACTAACTGTATATCTCTATGCACTAATAATGGTCAATTGTATATTAAATATGACAGCATACACATGAAATTTGACCCAGAAGGTGAAAACCCATACCCTGAGAACCACACAACATTGCTAGAAAAATTAAACAATACCTAAATAAATGGAAAAGTATATTAAGTTCATGGCTCAGGAGACATGATGTTATTAAGATGTCAATTCCCCCCTAAATTATCTACAATCCTGATCAAGATTCTGCAGAGTTTTTTAAATAGAAATCGACAAAGTGATTTTTAAATCTATGTGGAATTTAAAAGGCCTAACATAGCCAACACAACTTTGAAAAAGAAGAACAAAGTTGGGAGCCTAACATTACCTGATTTTAAGACTTACTTAAGTAAAGCTACGGGTGAATAATTTAACTGAGATGACCATAATATCTACTACTGTGGGCAAGAATCCCTTAGAAGAAATGGAGTAACCCTCATTGTCAACAAAAGAGTCCGAAATGCAGTACTTGGATGCAATCTCAAAAATGACAGAATGATCTCTGTTCATTCCCAAGGCAAACCATTCAACATCACAGTAATCCAAGTCTATGCCCTGACCAGTAATACTGAAGAAACTGAAGTTGAACAGTTCTATGAAGACTTACAAGGCCTTATAGAACTAACACCAAAAAAAGATGTCGTTTTCATTATAAGGGACTGGAATGCAAAAGTAGGAAGTCAAGAAATATCTGGAGTAACAGGCAAATTTGGCCTTGGAGTACAGAATGAAGCAGGGCAAAGGCTAATAGAGTTTTGCCAAGAGAACACACTGGTCATAGCAAACACCCTCTTCCAACAACACAAGAGAAGACTCTACACATGGACATCACCAGATGGTCAACACCGAAATCAGACTGATTATATTCTTTGCAGCCAAAGATGGTGATGCTCTATACAATCAGCAAAAATAAGACCAAGAGCTGACTGTGGTTCAAATCATCAACTCCTTATTGCCAAATTCAAATTTAAATTGAAGAAAGTAGGGAAAACAACTAGACCATTCAGGTATGACCTAAATCAAACCCCTTAAGATTATACAGTGGAAATGACAAATA